TAAATTTAAATTAATAAGAAATAATATTACAGTATGAAACAAAATCAGTGAAACTAGGTTTTACAAATTTCTTTTAATGAGAATTTGTGATACTAGGTATTTTGTTTTAATAGAAGTGAAATTTGATTTTTCTTTCGTGAAGGTGAAATTTAGAATTGATTACTTGAGATAATTAGCTATATATCTAATCATGTAGGCTTCCTTTTGCTTCAAGCCCTAGTTAGTAAATTCGCCAATTATACGTCCACCTGTATAATTCGTGTATTATTCACGAACAGCCGTATTTTATAAGTCTAGCCGTATTATTCGCGAATTATATGTCTCAACCGTATTATTCGCGAATTATTCCCGTATCTGAATTTTTGTCGAATTTTTATAAACATATTTTTCATCATTTTCTGTATCATACTCGTAAAATTTCAGTACCATTTTTTTTTCCGTACCCGTATATTTGAAATGTTATATAGATTTTAACCAAGTGGCCATGAAAAGTGCTAAAACTAGGATTGATATTGCCATATTTTTCAAAACATATTATTGATAATGTGTTGTATTAAACCCGTATATCTTATATAGTATTTTTTTCCGTATCCGAATTTTATGGCCGATTTTTTACAAATATATTTTTCACCATTTGCCATATTATACTCATAAAATTCTCATACCCTTTTTTTATCTACCCGTGTTTACTAACTAGGCTTCAAGCTTTGGTTTTGTCAAATCATTCACTTCAATTTGTTTCGTTTATCTTCAAAATTCTAGATAGACTCAAATTAATTGAAATTTCTTCCTAGTTCCTCACACTAATTAACCAATAAACTCTTCATTCATGTTTTCCAAAATATCTTGTATGTGAAATGACCATAATATCCTTTGACTATTTGATTATAAAATGACCTTAATATCCCTGGACTATTTTGCAATGTTGATTGAATATACGAATATGATGATATAAGATAAGCGTCCATCATTGATATATGAAATTATTAAGAATTTAAAAGTAAATAACGATACAATCCAAATATAATAATGAGGTCACAATAATGGCAACAAATTTCATAATGAAAGCTTTATAAAACATTGAAATATTTATTCATAGGATTTATGTTAAAATTACTTTATTTGTTTGTTAGCTTAATAAAGTGTTCATTTGTGAATCAACTTAACCATGTTTTATACTTGTTAGAATATAATAAATAAAAACTACCCAATATAATATATAACTACTTAAATTTAATTGACAATTCTATTATCAAATGTAACTTGACCCTTATAATACAATCTTGGCTGCGTCCTTCCAAAATAAAATATAATTATTATTCAATTTATAATTGCATTAGTCAAAATCAATCAACTCTCAGACTTTACGAAAGAAAAAAAAATTAGTAACTCCAACTTTAACGCCAAAAATTTAAAGAAAAGGGTTCAACTTAGTAGTTTTCAAAATTTGGTTAAGGATAAAATTCCAAAGGTACCCCTTAGACATTCCTACAACATTTCTAACAATAATTTCACAAAATTCCTTGGTAGGCTCCTAAGTCAATTATAGACATGTACTGTAACATATTCTTTGGGGATATTATCTATTGAGGTATAAATCTTTTAAAACTTTTTTAATGAGAGAACATAAGTTACAAATTGTTCAATTAAGAGACATTTAACAATTATTTGCCGTTAACTTTAACCAAAAAATGAGAAAATTACTTAATTGCCATTGATTTTTTTTTTTTCAGTTTTAAGGAGCATTAACGAACTAAAAAATTAAAAACTAAAGAAAAAAATTAAAGACTAAAAAAATTAAAGGAAAATAATTTTAACTGTTAAATGACCATAATGTCCCTTATCTATTTGATTACAATTACCACATGATATTTCCCTACATTGACTCAATGGTCAGAAGTCAGAATCAATTACCGGGGCCAAAACATTTGCATGCAGTACGTGTATAGCTCAAGTCATTTCCATCACATTTTCATTTGTTATTTCCCAAATAGTAAATGCCTTGAACATGAAATGACCACAATGTCCCTTTACAATTTGATTTACTTTGAAATGGCGGAGGTCGTCTACATACATCCTCATTCCACACCATTTAAGAATAAAACTTATTTGAATGAAAAAAAAAAAAAAAAAAAAGAGCATAACATTTCAACAGAAATTAGAATAATATTTATATATACAAACTTTTCATATAAAATCATTTATCCAAACGAATGTGTTTTAATATGATTGAAAATTATGTAGGGTTGTCACACCAGTTTATAGAAAATAGTTTGTATATGTACTTAGCACTATTCCATAAATTATTTTTCTTATTCTTTTTACCTTCTCTGATCAAATTGTGAAGCCAAATTAGTATTGCATTGGGGGATATGTTTTTCGCTAAGATGTTTCTATATAGAATTGTATCTCTTTAGTGAAGTAAATTAATTATAGAGAAATACAATTATGAATATGAACATAAATTGTATTAGGAATCAAAATAAAAAGTTTTATTAGAAATAATGTCACATGTAGTACCTATAAAAGTGTGTTAAAATCCTAGAGAACCTAATAGGTAAGACCACAATTAAAGAGTGAGAGCAACTGAAGAGAGGCTTAGAGTGTGTTTGGAATTGTTGTAGCTTTAAGTTTAATCAATTTTAGCTCAACTTTGGAATAATTAGCTTTGAAAATAATTTGTTTGTTAAATACAAATTTTATAATGGCTATGATTTTCAAAATTTATGATTTTGTGTTTGGTAAATTAGTTTTAGAAATTGTTGGTGTACGTATAATGACCAAAACGGACACTTTATTTTTTTAAATATTTTTATAGTTCTCAATTTGTGTTTTGTTAAGTATTTAATAAATATTTAAGAATGTAATAAAAAAATTTGTTAAATAAATTATCATTTAATTAATAATTCAAAAAAATTAAAACATTAGACCTGGCCAATAGTGGTCAGTTCAATGATGATGTGTTAAAATCACAGCTAGTCTCATCAAGACCGACGTAAGCCAATATATTGGAAACTTTTGACCCTTTTTTGTGGCCAAATGATGAGTTGGAATCTGGTGACTCCACCAAATTCCAACAGATTGGCTAGGATCGGCAGTGTGGACAAACACAGATTGTTGGTTTTTAAAATATCTTAGATTTGAAAAAATATATATATAAAATATAAAAAGCCTTAATTTAAGGCTTTAGAATATCTCCAATTGTGTTCTTTATTTTAAAGAACATTTTTTATTTAAATAAAGAGTATTTTTATTAATTAATAAATATAAATAACAAAATATTTAAATCCAATGGACTCTCTAAATTTAAATTTTTCATTTTGTATATTCTCACAGAGCATTTATGATTTTAATTTTTTTCCTCCTTTTCTTTTCCTAAATTTCCCTTTTTATATTTCATTACTTTCCCACCATTTTTCTTTATAAGTTAAACTGTTTCTTTTATATTCAATTCCATCTTCTTCTGCACAATCTTTTGATAGGAACCAACTTCAATAACTCAATAATTTGGGCTAAGTCATGGGTCTTTCATGGGCTTGGGTAGAACTCTCCTTGGAAAAACGGCTTGCCAAGAGAGGGTACCCAAGCTTTTATAACCCACATGCCCACCCTTTTCCCTTTCAATGTGGGATCCTAACATTCCACCACTCTTCTGCAACCGACGTCCATGTCGACCTCTTTACCCCCGTCGGCCTCTTTACCCCTTGGGTGACTACGTGAATCCCCTTTCCCTCGAGCCTCCATGCTCTTTCTCGAGGTAGTAGCCCGAGCCCAAGGTCAGCCTGCCACGCGTGCGCTACCACATAGACATAGGATCATGCTCTGATACCAATTGATAGGAACTCACTCTAATAACTCAACAATGGGCTAGGTCATGGGTCTTTCATGAGTTTGGGTAGAACTCTCCTTGAAAAACCAGGTTGCCAAGGGAGGATGCCTAAGCCTTTATAACCTACATGCCCACCATTTTCCCTTTCAATGTGGGATCCTAACATCTTTCCACCTCTTTTCCTTTCTATCACGCCATGCCACAGAATGCTTTGAGACTGACACTGGTTTTCAAAATATCTTCTATGTAAAATGACCATAATGCCTTAATTTCAAATGACCATAGTGTCTCTGACTATTGAATTGATATTCAAATGATAAACATATTCACTGGGACAGCAACCCATTTTGTAATTTAAACTTATTCATTATTTTGTAATTTGCTGACTGAAATTCCTCAAAATTTTTATCTAAAACTATTAAACATTTTTTTTTTTTTTTTGTTTATGAATATAAACAAAGACTTACTAATTTAAATAATGATTTAACTCTACTTGTGACAATCTAAAAGAATATATGTGTGTGTGTGTGTGTGTGTGTGTGTGTATACACATTAATTATGTTTATAATTAAAAAAAAAAAAATTAGTTTTTGTTTTATTTTGTTGTTGGCATCGAAACTTGCATGTAAAATGACCATAATGCCTTGATATCAAAGAACAATAATGTCCCTGACTATTATTTAACATTCAAATGGTAAACGTATCCTTTGGGACACCAATCCAATATGTAAACTTATCACATATCTATAATTGTTAGCAAACGGTGGGGTGGACTGGAGTCCACACAGCTTCATTATAATCTTTCGTTCTTGATTTTGACAGGTCTAAAGTCTAAGTCTATCTGTGAGTCAACTTTCCTTTAATTTCATCCTTTCTCTTCCCTGTTCACTCAAATTCTCTTACACTCCAATTTTCTCAAACTCTCAATTCGATCTCTCAAATTGTCCTACAAAATCTCTCAAACTCTCCATTCTTAATTTGTTTTCTTAATTTGTCAGTGCTACTTCAAAGGTAAATTGATTTTATGTTTATCAGCATCTTAATACCATTTTCTTCAATTAAACTCATCAATCTCTTACTTCATCCCATAATTTAAGAGATGACCATCAATTAAATTACTTTAATATTCAATTCTACAGCTACCAATTTGCATTATAGCAACCAAGAACAAATGGCAGAAGGAATTCTATTTGACGTTGCGAGGAAAATCATAGAGCAGTTGGGATCATTGGCTGTCCACGAAATCGGATTGGCATGGAGTGTTAAAAATGATATTACCCAACTCAAGGATCGTGTGAGAACTATCCAAGGGATACTTCTTGATGCTGAGGAGCAGCACAACAAGAAGAATAATGAGGTGACAGCTTGGCTGCAGACACTCAAAGACGCATTTTATGATGCAGATGATTTGCTAGACTATTACTACACAGAATTTCAGCAACGAAAGGTGATGGCTGGGAATAAAATGGCAAAAAAGGTACGAATCTTCTTCTCCAAGTCTAATCAGATTGCATTTAGTCTGAAGATGGCTCATAAAATGAAGAAAACTGTGGAGACACTAAAGAATATTTACAGTGTAAGACCAGGTTATCTTAATCAACGCTTTATTGATGAAAAAAGAGTAGTGAATTTGGAAAGGGAATCACACTCTTTTGTACCTATAGGACAAGTTATTGGGAGAGGTGATGAGAAAAATAATGTTATACAACTTCTATTGGACTCTAATGATGATGAGAATGTTTCCATTATTTCCATTTATGGGTTTGGAGGATTAGGAAAGACCACACTTGCTCAACTTGTATACAATGATGAAAATATCACAAAATGTCTTCAATTAAGGATGTGGGTGTGTGTGTCTGACGAATTTAATGTGAAATTAATTGTAGAAAAGATTATAAAATCTATAACTCATAAGGAACCTGGAAATCTTGAACTAGATCAATTACAAAAACGCTTTCGCGAGGAAATTGAGGATAAAAGATATTTACTTGTTTTGGATGATGTATGGAATGAGAATCCCAATACATGGGACCAATTAAAAAATTTGTTGTTGAATGGTGCAAGAGGAAGTAAAATATTAGTCACTACACATAGTGAGCAGGTTGCAAAGATTACTAGTAAACATTCGTTTCATATCCATCCCTTGAGAGAGCTAGCTAAAGACAAGTCTTGGTCCTTATTCAAGCAAATAGCCTTTGAACATGGGATAGAGCCAAAAGATTCAAAACTAGTAGAGATTGGAAAGGAGATTGTAGCAAAGTGTGGAGGAGTTCCTCTTGTTATAAAGACGATAGGAAACCTACTTTATGGTAATAACAAAGAAGATGATTGGTTACAGTTCAAGGATAATAAAATGTCAAAAATAATTCAAAAGGAAAGTGATATTTTACCTATACTCAAGCTCAATAATGATCATCTTCCCTCACACTTGAAGCAATGTTTTGCCTATTGTGCACAGTTTCCCAAAGATTGTGAGATTGAGAAGCAAAAACTTATTCATCTTTGGATGGCACAAGGGTTTCTTCAAGGATCAAATAAGAAGGAATGTCCAGAAGATATCAGTAATAAGTATTTTATGGCCTTACTTTTAAGGTCATTTTTCCAAGATCTAAAATATGATGAATGGGGCAATATAATTGCATGTAAGATGCATGATGTTATGCATGACCTTGCACAATTAGTTGCAGGAATTGAATGCAAAATGGTAGCATTAGATACGTTTGAAACTGTGGATGGAAAATGTCGTTATTTATCACTTGATTGTGGCGAAATAAGTGGATCATGGAAATTTCCAACTGCATTGTATAGTGCCAAAAATGCAAGAACTTTACTTTTATTGGATAAATTAAAATGGGAAATCAAAGTGGATGATGGTTACAAAATTTTAACAAGTTATAGGCATTTGCAAACATTGGACTTTGGAGGAATAAGGTTTCAAAAGTTGTTTACTTGGAATGGTGAACTAGACAGCTCAATTGCCAAATTGGAGCACCTACGATATCTCAATTTGTCAAAGATGGATATTAAAAGTTTTCCTAATTCCATTTTGAGACTATGGAATTTGGAAACATTAGACCTCTCCTATTGTAAAAAGCTTATAAAGCTACCAAGTGATATTAGTAAGATGGTGAACTTGAGGCATCTTATAATCAAAGGATGTGATTTTTTATTGGGAATGCCACATGGACTGGGGCTTTTAACTAATCTTCAAACACTATCACTATTCGTAGCAAGTAAGAGAATTAGAAAAAGCAAACACAGTGGGATAGATGAATTAAATAGGTTGAACAATTTGAGTGGAGACCTAGAAATTAAAATTTTAAAATACATTGAAAATGGAAGTTTGGCCAACTTAAATGATAAACAGTTTCTTCAGTCTCTTATACTGCATTGGGGGAGAAGTAGACATGGGGAGGTTGAGGGGATTGATGAAGTGATGTTAGAAGGTCTAAAGCCACACCCAAATTTGAAAAAGATTAGTATAAAGTCATTTATGGGTGTGAAGTTTTGTAATTGGTTTTCCTCTCTTACAAATCTTACTTCAATTAGTATAGAAAGGTGTGGGCATTGCCAATCTGTACCACCATTGAATAAACTTCCGCATTTGAAGAGTTTGTCTCTTCAATTTCTATCTGGTTTGGAGTACATCTCAGAGGAAGCAAGTAATAGTTGTTCTTCCACACTATCAACAACATTTTTCCCATCACTTAAGGAACTGACACTCTTTTATTGTCCTAAATTAAAGGGATGGTGGAAGGGAGATGATGATAATGATGGAAAAGTGTTGCCTTCATTTCCTTGCCTTTCCAAATTATATATTAATAATTGCCGAAACTTGTTATCCATACCGCTGTATCCATCTCTGGATGAATTGAAATTGATGTTTACTAGCTCGAAGCCATTGGTATAGACAATACTATTGGTGAATAGTGTGGGACCATTAACTTCCTCCAACTTTTCTACACCTCTCTCCAAATTAAAGTCTATTGTGCTTTTTGAAATTCCAGATCTAGAATCTCTACCAGTGGCGGGGATGCGAAACCTCACTTCTCTAGCTGGTTTGAAAATTATATTATGTTCAAGACTAACTCAAGTGCATAATGGTATAAGATTTCTCACCTCACTTCAAAATCTGAGGATTGAAAGGTGTGACAAGCTTGACTTTCTCACGGATGACGTGCAATGGCAAAGTCTCCAAAGCCTCTATTCTTTACAACTTTTCAATCTTCCAAAATTGGTGTCTTTACCAAAGGGGTTTCAATACCTTACCTCTCTACAGAAGTTGATTATTGGCAGTTGTAAGCAATATGAATCACCCAGCAGTGAAGATGATGATGATATGCCATGGCAAGGCTTTAGGAGCCTCTGGTCTTTAAAAATTCATGGGCTTCCAAAATTGGTGTCTCTCCCAAAGGGGCTTCAATATGTTGCCACTCTACGAGATTTGTATATTGCAGGTTGTGACCAATTTGGATCACTCAACAGTGAGGATGATGATGACATGCCATGGCAAGGCTTTAGGAGCCTTTAGTCTTTAAATATTGATGGGCTTCCAAAACTGGGGTCTCTCCCAAAAGGGTTTCAATATGTTACCACTTGACGACACTTGTATATTGGAGGTTGTAACCAATTTGGATCACTCAGCAGTGAGGATGACGATGACATGCCATGGCAAGGCTTTAGGAGCCTCTAGTCTTTAACAATTTCTAGGCTTCCAAAATTGGTTTTTCTCCCAAAGGACCTTCAAAATATTACCTCTCTACAAGATTTGCATATTAGACATTGTCATAATTTGACAGCTCTACCAGATTGGATATCCAATTCAAGTTCACTTTCAAGACTGGAGATCGGAGATTGTCCCAACTTGTCAGAAAGATGTGGAAATAAAATGGGGATGGATTGGCCAAAGATTGCTCACATCCCAAATATCCAAATTGATTGGACATGGATTCAACAGGATGGCTGCTATTAATATTCTTCAACAACAGGTTGATATTTCTCTTGAAGTTAATCAATAAACATTTCTTACTATAATTAACTACTTTCTTATTTGTTTTTTTGAGTAAAAAACGGTCCTTTGCTTTATCCGTTTATCATAACTAATTTCTTACATTTTTATTATGAATAGGGGCAAATGGTTTGGAATTTGTAATTAATTGGAAGGTATTTATCTTACCTATTTATTAATTTATTCCAATTCTTTAACTTTTGCAAGGAATTTTTATACATATGTTTTTATTAATGTCAATCTCTTTTATTATTGAATCCATAAACTTTCGATTTAAAAATCTTAAATTTGACAGCACTTTTAATTGAATTGCAGTCAATTGACTTATTCTATCTTCAATGGTCAGTGAATCATGAAATACATTTCTTGTACACGTCTCAGAATTTGGTGAATTGTTGTTTACACCAATTGACAATGAAAAACTGAATGGTAATTGTATCACCTATTACCTCGCACTTTTGTTCTTGATGAAAACAAATCAGGCATTATTCTATATACATCTCTTCTCTTCAAATTGTTTAATGTTTCATCAGTCGCTACTCTATTTGCAAAGTGATGGAAGAACATTACAGAAATGATTGAATCTACAATTCTATGCTGATTTGGGAATCATGCAAGTATAGCAAATGCTAGGTAATATATCTGACGCTTTTGCTTTTTTAGCCCTGTTTTTCATGAGGCATACCCTTAGAGCCCATTACGATTAATTGTTAATAAACTCTCATATGCTAACAAAAAAGAGAATTTCATGTTAATTTGCAGGCAAAACACTTTTGTAGTAGATGGCCATTCATCAAGAATGTACAAGTCTTTCTTCAGCTGACTTTTTAGATTTATTAAATTTTCATTCTTAATTGTTGATTGGAGTTTATGTAAATGACATGCAAAGTTTGTATTGTCAGTCTTTCTCTTTACATTGTGAATAGGCTTAATTGGCATGTGGAGACCCAAGAAGTGTCTTGAAGCTCTCTTCTCGTGAGGTGAATTGATTCAAGAAGGTAAATGACCGCTCTCTTTTTTTATGTTTCTATACTTCTTTTTAAGGTACATCCTCTTCTCTTGATGGTTTTATATTGTCTCACCTCCCTTCACTACATGATATTTTGTTGCACTCACATTGATAATGAATATAATATCGTTGCATATCTGGTTGCTGATTAGGTCTTCAGTTGACATTATCGAACAGGTCTTACCTCGGCAAAACAACCAAGAAAAAATTGATGAATGATGTTTGGGGTTTATCATTCTACAGTTTCTCTCAATGCTTTTCTGTTTCTCATTTTCCTTATTGTAATTCATGCATTTGCATTTTTTTCATTGTATGTAGCTTTATTTGAGGGGTAAGGCTCATTACGTCCTCCCCTGTCTAGGTGTCATCCTTTTATTTTCAATTAATAAAATTGTTCTCGTACCGTCGAGGTTTCCCTAAAATAAATGAATTTATCTTATTTGCACAGCATATATAGCTACAGTGAAGAACTCTCAATAGATCAGACTACTGCTTCAATGGGAGCTTTGGTTTGCTATATATATATATATATATATATATATATATATATGGTTTGTGTGAAAAATGGAATATAATTTTTTTCAATTAATATTTCGGACTCTTTCTACCAAAACATAATAGATAAGTTAGATATTGGACGAAATTAATTAAAATTTGTATTTCATCTTAGAAAAATGAAATTAATTAAAAGGTGTATTTGCCTATCACGTAGAACAAGTTGCCTTAATTTTGTATATCCTATTGTTGAGGCAAAGGCTATTTTATTTTTGATTTTCTTTTTTAATTTTGAAATTTATCTTGTATCTCTTAATGCCTACTGCTATCAAGCCTCTGTTGTTCATGACTTATATACAGTACAAGATATGAGAAAAAATATCATCTAGAACTGATAAATGAAATCTAATTTATGAAACCGTTTTCAATTCCCATCTATAATAATCACATTTAATTATTTAAACCAAAAAAAAAAAAAAAAAAAAGTTTAACAAAAAATCAATTTGAAATCTTACAGGGAAACACTTAATCTGAATTATTGTTGGCTAGGGAAAACAATAAAATTGTGAAGACAATATGCTAATGTCCTCATTAATATGGGATATTTTTAAGTAGGGTACAAACTTTTTAAACTTTATCAATAGGAGGATAGAAGTTATAAGTTGTTCAGTTAAGGTACAATGACTTAACGTTAGATTTAACTTTATATAAGGGTGAAGTGACGTAATTGAATTTGAACAAATTTAAATTATTATTTTTTTACAAAATAAATAATTAAAATTAACAAATTGAAAATGAAAATATAAAAACTAAACAAAAGATTTAAATTATCCCTTTTTACAAAATAAATAATAATTTTTTTTTGTTTGATTAAATTCTCTTTTATTTTAAATTTCTTAGTTATTTATTTTTTGTTGTTTCAATTTCCTTTTTAAAAAAAAAATGGTTTTGGTCTTTTTTTTTTTCAGTTTTTCAAAATTTATAAAACTTAGATTTTAAGAACTAAATTCATTTAAAAAAATTAAGGGCATTTAAGTCATTTTATGTAAAAGTTAACGGTCATAATTGAAAAAATTATAACTTTTGTTCTCCCACGAAGGTTTGAAAAGTTTTGTACCCTAATTGATAATATCCCTTAATAATGGCATAAAAGAAATTAAACACTTGATTAGGTTCATATAAATGATTATTTTCTATAAATTTAGGAATAATTGAATTGTTTCTAAAATGTTATATAGACGATATTTTAATTAATGTATAATATGATAGTTGAATTGTGACTAAACAATAAATATTGAGTATCAAATTTGAAATTTCTATCAATATATTGATAATTATTTTATTTGAATTACATTTATAGGAAGATATTTCAAATATGCAGTTAAAACGTGAAACGGTTTGAAGACAGAAATTCAATTATAATTTAATTAAGGGGTTTTGATCTCAACCAAAGGTTTAATCATGTATAAAACTTCTCCAAAATTTTCAAAAATAACATAAATCCCCCTACCATTAGTGAACCATTTTAGAATTTATAATATTAGATGGAAATTAAAGATGGTTATTGTTGTGCCTAAAAAATCGCACTGATATCAACACCAACCAATCAGAGTTCAGGAAGGCTTTGTGCCGTCTAAGAGCTACCACGTCACCCCAAGACAGAAGGGATACGGCTATCACTAACTCAGCAGATTCACGTTTTGTCCACGAGTGGATGAGGACTCCATACCTGTCCCAACTTTATCAAAATAAAAAGAAAAGGATTAAGGAGTGGGTCCCCAGGCATCATGACAACTTGCAAAAGCAGCCATTATATTGGCCTAAAAGGTGTATAAATGAGCAGCTCTCTTCAGTTGGGCATATGAGAGTTAGATATAGATTTGAGCTTCATTCTTTCTCTTTGAAAGCAAAGTATTTTTTCATCTTTGGATGTAGGATTTGCTTTAAGCATCCGAACCACTTTAAAAACCTCTCTTGTCAATCTATTATTTATGTTTCTGCAACATATATAATCTCATCACCATCTTCAAATCTCATGGATCCATCACGTGTAATTTCTAAGACTCTCTTAGCACTTCGCATGTGCAAGTCGTTGGTGTCCAAAATCAAGCATCAATAGTTTGGTGGCCCATGTAGGTCTCAAACATGCGTCTAAGTTCTCCGATCGTGTGGCAAGATCACAGATCACACGCATCAGAGTTCTCCGATCACGTGGCCAGATCACAAGCATCAGAGTTCTCCCATCACGTGGCCAGATAGTAGATCGCATGTGTCAGAGTTCTCAGATCGTGTGGTTCGATCGCAGATCACACGCATCAGAGTTCTCCGATCTCGTGGCCAGATCGCAGATCATACGCGTCAGAGTTCTTGGATCACGGGGTTAGATCGCAGATCACATGCATCAAAGTTCTCCGATCGCATGGCCAGATCGCAAATCGCACGTATCAGAGTTCTTCGATCGTGTGGCCAGATCGCAGATCGCACTCATAAGAGTTCTCCAATCTCATGGCCAGATCACAGATCGCACACATCAGAGTTCTCGAATCGCATGGTTAGATCGCAGATCGCATGCATCAGAGTTCTTCGATCACGTGGCCAGATCATACATCGCGCACTTAGATCGTCTTGGTCTTCAGCTTCAGATTGCTGATCTTTAGCACTCCAATCGCGTGGTTAGATCGCTGATCGCAAACTCAGACCGTGTTGATCTTCAGTTTCAGATCGTTAATCTCTAGCTTCAGATTGCATGGCCAGATCGTAGAATGCACGCTCAGATCGTCTTGGTCTTCGACTTCAGATCGCGGATCTTTAGCTCTCCAATCACGTGGTCAGATCGCTGATCGCACGCTCATATCGTATTAATCTTCAGTTTTAGATCGTTGACCTTTAACTTCAAATCGTGTGACCAGATCGCAGATCGCATGCTCAAATTGTCTTGATCTTCAGCTTCAGATCGCTAATCTTTAGCTCTCCAATAGTGTGGCCAAATCGCAAATTGCACGCTCAGATCGCTAATCTTCAGCTTTAGCTCGTTGATCTTTAGCTATTCGATCGTGTGGTCAAATCACTAATCACACGCTCATATCGTTTTGATCTTCAGCTTCAGATCACTAATCTTTAGCTTCAGATCACGTGGCCAGATCGCTGATCACACGCTCAGATAGTTGATCTTTAGTTTCTGATCGCGTGGCTAGATCACAGATCGCGCGTTCAAGATCGTCGAAATCATGTGTTTAGGTCATTTAGATCGTGCTTCCAAGCGCTTAGATCGCTGATTGATCTCTAATTCTCAGATCAAGTTCCACGCTTTCTGATCGAGCTCCTTATGATCTCAGATCGAACTTTTTATGCTCTCTAATCAAACTCCTTATGCTCTCTGATTGAGCTCATAAGCTCGCTCTTTTACTTGAGATCGTGTGTATCAAATCGTTCAAATCGTATGCCTCAGACTCTCAAGTCGAGCTCCTCTCAGATTGCGATCAGTTCTCAGTTCTCATATCGCGACCAGCTGCCAACATTAGAAAAAATGCGTAAAAAACTCAAATAGCCCTGAAACATCTGAAACGGTGGATTTTGGCCTCGAAAATTGCCCCAATTGGACTCTCTTATTGCCATGACGTAGAGCTCAAAACAAGCTTTCCATGGATATCTTACGGGCTCCAAAACTCCTCTCAGATCAAAAGTTATGGTGTTTTAAGTTGGTTTATCCGTTTAACACCTCTAAGCTGTGCATTTGGGCTTCTGAATTTAGCTCCCTCCAGGGATTCATCTACTGGACATTTTATGTCAGTTATCAGATCGCGCTCAGCTTCAGATCACTCTAAGCTCTCATATCGTAGTCCTAGCTCTCAGTACCTGATCGTGCCAAGCATAGTTTGAGCTCTTCAGTTCAAGACTGTAGCCTATAGTGCAACAGCCATTCAAATCTAAGACATGAGTTTTTGAAGTGCAATTACACACTCCAAAAACTAGTGGGGTTTGTTGTGCCTAAAAAATCACACTAATGTAAGGTTTTGTGCCGTCCAAGAGTTGCCACGTCGCCCTAAAATAGAAGAGATACGGCTATCACTAACTCAGCAAATTCAAGTTTTGTCTATAAGTGGATGCAAGATTTACTTTAAGCATCCGAACCACTTTAAAAACCTTTCTTATTAGTCTATTATTTATGTTTCTGCAACATATATAATCTCAGCACCATATCCAAATCTCATGGATCCATCACATATAATTTCTAAGACTCTTTTAACACTTTACACGTGTGAGTCGTTGGTGTCCAAAATCAAGCATCAATAGTTATTTTCATTGTTACCTCATCAATTTTTAAATCGTTGGGTTGTCATGAATCAACAATTGAAAACTCGTGTCAACAATTTAAGTTAAAAGATCTGATCCTTATAAGTTAATAAATATCTACTTAATCATCTCTTTGTCGTTTTATTTTACCACCTACCACTTAACAGCATGAGGATTTCTGTTAATGCTATAACCACAACGGGATTTTTGTTATTTCATTAATACCTAAGGGGGATTTTGTCATTGACCACAAATTTGCCTTGGTGCGTTATCTTCTAACTTGAAATATGGACCATAATATGCTCTCATCCTGTTGGCCTTCATCTTTACAATTCCAACATGTATTTTTTTTTTTAATTATTATTTTTATTAAACAAAGTTGGGGGATGTTTTAAATTTCAGACAAATAAAATATAGCTGAAATTTGAAAAGGGGGATGTCATAATAAGCCTGCATGCCTTGCAGAGAATGGCCCCAAAGCTTTCTTTGCTGTTTGTACTTTGCTTACCAACAATTTCCATTTGGATTCATCTTTCTTGCTCTGCTGCTGCATTTTCTCCTTGAAGTGCCTGCAAATAGGTTCATTCATGAAGGGAAAAACTATCAGACCTTATTTCAAGTACTGTGTCTTTATATCAGAAGCTATAATAAGAGTAAATCATCATGACTTGGGACTCGGGTGTGTGTCGGAACAAACAGAGTGCCATATCCACTATACCACAACCACATTTGCAACCACCCTCTGAGATATCCTATTTGGATTTGAATCTTAAAAATCCATCGGGACTATCTGACTAACTATATCAAGTTGGATCAACTTTCAGTACGTAAATGAATTCAGAAGGTCGGCATCATTATTCACAAGTTAACCAAGTTATCGGTACAGCACCAACCAGTCCATTAGCTTAGCTGAATCAAAATCGAAAAACTTTCAATTTGTAGGAACGAATGAGTCTTTATTTCCCAGTTTGGTCTCATTCTGGTAACGAACCTAATCTTTTGGTAAACAGGTCAGAAACAAGTTTGAGCTCTTACATGTCATCCAGACTAAACAATATGATTTATTAACACAATATATCAGAAAGTGTGAATGAACTTCTAACATGCATATATGCAGAACTCTTTTAACTTTCCTCTTTCCCTTTTTCTTTGTTTATTCTCCGTCTTAGTTTGGTTTGTATTATTTTTAGTTTTATTTTCCCAAACAGATGTAAGGCACAGATAAGTATAGGAATGGAAGTTTTATCTTTGTTAAGAATCAGACAGCAATACAACCAATTGCTCTGATACCATGTTAAAAATCGGAGGAGTAAAACATAAAAATAAAGAATAGCAATAACAATATAAAAAAGGCACACGATATTTTACGTGGTTCGGCATAACTCGCCTACATCCACGGATGAGAGGGTTTTCACAATAATAATATGAATACGATACAAGTGTTTTATCACACCATCAACCTAGTACCTTTACTTAGGCGGACATCCCGTTCCTATGGTGTTTAATACCCTTTGGTATTTACTCGATACCTGTAGTACCCTTACCTCAAAACCCCTTGTATCCTCACATTCTCTCTTTCTCTTATTCCTCTCTCATTACCTTGAATTGGTTCTAACTCCCTTATTTATAGGTAAAATAAGACATTCTTATTCTACTAGGATTCATATTCCTATTCCTAATAGAACTCTTATAATTTAAATCATTCTCCTATTTTAACTTAAATAAAGTCCTAAACCAATTATTCTTTCCTAGTAAAACTCAAAGTAAAAGGAAAACAAATATTCTTCAATTACAAATTCCTAAACTAGAAATTTGCCGAAAACTTAAATTCCTTTTCTTCTTGTTTGCCTTTTCTTCTTACTTGCCTTTCCTTCTTGATTGCCTTTTCTTCATCAATTACCAAAAAAGTGTTCATATTCCAACACTCCTCCTTGAACCTTTTTGGTAATTCATCTTCTCAGCTTGTTCTTCATTCTCTTTCTCTTCCTTTCTTCTACAACTTTAGCCTTCCACGCTTCTTCTTCTTCAGCCTACCACCCTTAGTGCTAGCTTCTTTTCTCTAACTCGTGTTAGAGTCTCTCCTTTTCTTCCTCGGGTTCATCTTCTCAAGAACCTCATTCCTGCCCGATGTGAGAATTTTGGAGTTGACCACCCTGCCTACCTTCTTCTGCTTCGGGTGCTCGGTGTGACACTCTCTCCCACCCAAATTCGATGAAACCTTTGTCGTCATGGTCATCCTGCCTACCTCTCCCTTGAGGTGCTTGGCATGAGTCGGGTCGAGAATAGTTTGGTTCTGATAGGCCCCAAGTTTCATCTCCACCTTTGGTTGGAGTCTCGATGGCTTTCTCTCGTCAATCCTGTCGCTGACATTCTTGCAGACCATCACCCTGCAATTTTTGCTTCATCTTCCTTAGGCCCCTTCTCCCGTAGGTCCCTTAAGAAAATAAGCTGTGATACCATGTTAAGAATCAGACAGCAATACAACCAATTGCTCTGATACCATGTTAAAAATCGGAGGAGTAAAACATAAAAATAAAGAATAGCAATAACAATATAAAAAAGGCACACGATATTTTATGTGGTTCGGCATAACTTGCCTACATCCACGGATGAGAGGGTTTTCACTATAATAATATGAATACGATACAAGTGTTTTATCACACCATCAACCTAGTACCTTTACTTAGGCGGACATCCCGTTCCTATGGTGTTTAATATCCTTTGGTATTTACTCGATACATGTAGTACCCTTACCTCAAAACCCCTTGTATCCTCACATTCTCTCTTTCTCTTATTCCTCTCTCATTACCTTGAATTGGTTCTAACTCCCTTATTTATAGGTAAAATAAACATTCTTATTCTACTAGGATTCATATTCTTATTCCTAATAGAACTCTTATAATTTAAATCATTCTCCTATTTTAATTTAAATAAAGTCCTAAACCAATTATTCTTTCCTAGTAAAACTCAAAGTAAAAGGAAAACAAATATTCTTCAATTACAAATTCCTAAACTAGAAATTTGCCCAAAACTTAAATTCTTTTTCTTCTTGCCTTTTCTAACTTAAATTCTTTTTCTTCTTGCCTTTTCTTCTTACTTGCCTTTCCTTCTTGATTGCCTTTTCTTCATCAATTACCAAAAAGTGTTCATATTCCAACAATCTTACCTACGAAGAGGGATCTTGCATAAATCAGGCTCATCACACATTCGAGAATGTAGTTCAAGCAGCTGCCACATGCGTTTGCAGTGAACACATCCACCAGGAACTCGAGTCTTGCAACTGGAGAAATGGCGGACTAAAGCCTCAAGCCCTTTGCAAGCTGTAAAATTGCAGGGAATCTGTCTTCCTTTCAGAACTTTGTCACGAGGCCCAATTGTCCTACACCCATCTCTGCATATGTGAAGGAGGGCTTCCATTGCCTCGTGGAGTTGCAAGTACACCTTTCTCTCTTCCATTTTTCTCAATCTTTCTTCTTTTCTCTGAAACCAAAGTGAAACAAAAGATTAGAGATGAAATGGATGCGGATTTTTCAGAAATTAATTGACATCACATCATCTGATTGACTTTGTTATCAATAGTGGAAACTTTTGCACCCCATTTGAAAGTAAATGAATTAAGATGGTTTTAATTCCCTATGTAACATGTAAAACATATAACATTACAACTGAGGATGTGACAACTAATGGAAAGAGAACTTTTAGGAGTCAAACAGACAAATGATCGAATTAACACCATGAATAGTTGTACAGAAACAGGGTTCTGAAGCATAGTAAAACAACAGTTTTCATCAGATTCGATACCTCTTTATACAATGGAATCCAGATGTTTTCACACTGAGAAGCAAAGTATACTGTGTTGCACCATGCAGACCTCCACCAGACATTTATGGTGGAAACTTTTGCGCCCCATTTGAAAGCAAATGAATTAAGAATTTAACCTTAACATGGTTTTGATTCCCTATGTAAAGTAAAACATACAGCATTACAACTGAGGATGTGAAAACTAATGGAAAGAGAACTTTCTGGAGTCAAAACAGACAAATGATCGAATTAACACCATGAATAGTTGTACAGAAACAACAGTTTTCATCAGATTCGACGAAAGGCTTCAATGGCGGCTGTCGCGTGAGGCCGTGAATGGCCGTGAGTTCGGCTGTCACGCGTGAGGTTATGAATAGCCTTGGCGACCGCCGTCGCGTGAGGTTTTGAGTGGGCTGGCGGCAGAACCCGTACTTCAAGATTACTTCTCTTGGCACAACAAACAATCTCGAAATCCTTAACCATGGTAAGATTGATGTTTCTCACTTATTACTCTGTTTTTGAATTCCGGTCTCACATTTTCTCCTTATATGAATGTTATTTTTTTGTTGTGTAGGTAATGGCAGATGAACTTGAAAGCATACTAATTAAGAAGTTTCCAGAGTTGTTGTCAATGAGGGCTGAAGCATTTCAAATGTTAAGGAGAAAGCCAGTGCAGGTATATGGTTTTATCTTACTGCTTTTCGCATACATAATGCTGCTTGGCAAACTTAAATCATCAGTTTCTGAACAATTCATCTAGAGGTTGTCTGCCATTATTAAGATGTTTGCTATTTATGGGCAGAGGAATGTTGTCCTTGAGATTCAAGCTATCTCTAGACATATTTTCTGCACAAACATTTTATTGCTCGACATGCTAGTTCCATTAAACCATTTTATGGTCAACGCAATACAGTTATAATGATGGGCTATGATGTTTTGATGAATTCTCGCTGAACAAAATTCCTCTCTGTGTATTTGTATCCCACTTCTTGCACTGCAGCATAATAGTCTTGAGAACTTTTGTGCTTGCAACAACATTGATTATTATGCCATTTAAATAAGTACTTAATTGATGCGTTTATCCTAATTTTCTGTGTCAAGGATACATCTCGCATAGCTTTATATTTTTTGTATTGTATTTTGTTTCTGTAATACATTATATACAACATTATATTATGTGTTGATCCTAATTTTCTGTGTTAAGGATACATTTCGCATAGCTTTATATGCACATCGCCACTTTCTTACTCATCTATAAGTCATCACAAATATGATTAGTGATTGGAAACTCTCTATGGTTTTGGATGTCTGATTTTAAATCATTGACCAATTTATGGATTATATTGATTGCCCTTCAAGATGATCTCTTCACTGTTTCTGTACTTTCAGGATCTTGTAAATGGATGAAGTGGGGAAAAAGGAGCAGTACCTGAGAGTGAAAGAAAAATTGGGGCCAACTACTTTCTTACTCATCTATAAGTCATCACAAATATGATTAGTGATTTAAAAATTTCGTGTTCACATAATAATTTTTTTATCAATAGAATATAGGGTTATACGTATATGCACGTACTAGACTGGATTAATTATTTTGAACTTGATTGAAGTAAATTGGATAGAATTAAAGTAGATTAAATTTAGTAATGTCACATATTTGGTGCAACACTGAACTAAATGTACAATTAATTATTTATTAAAAATATGATTATTTCAAATATTTAAATAATAGTAAATATTTTTTATTAAAATTTTTAAAAATTAGTAAAATTTGAAACCGGCCGGCCATATTTTAATGTTATTTATTTAAGATCATAAGAAGATTTGGCCAAAAAAAAAGAGGGTAAAATTAAATCAAATCTAATATTAAACCCACATGTTCTTCTCCCAAATCCTTTAATTAATTAATTAATCATTTGTGATAATATTTTTCCATTTGGAGATTATCCCAAAAGTTTTTTTTTTTTTTTTTTTTAATTACACTTTTTAACCATGATGATAATTGTATTTTTGTAATTTCAAATGATCAGCTGGCCAGTTTGGTCATTTCAAGTTTTTTAGTATTATTTATTTAATTGCTGATAATATTATGCCATTTGGATATTATCCCAAAAGTTTATTTTTTTAATGACACTTTTTAATAAAACAATGTCCATTATTGATTATAAAAAAAGTCTAAAAAAATTATATTTTTATTGATAAAAAAGTGTCCATTGACTGATAAAAGTGTCAATTTATTGATACAAATGAAACTTGTGTCCGTTTTTAATTGATATCCAATTGATAATAATCTATTTATACATAATCATGTAACAATTATTAAAAAAAAAAAAACCATGTTATATAGTAATACTATTATTATATAACATAATTTTTCTTTTTAAGTTATTATTATATGATTATGTATAAATTTAATTATAAAATAATTTATAATAGATTCATAATATAATTTATTCTCACTTTTTAAATTATTTATATTTCAGGTTTATATCCTTTTGTTTTACTTCTTTCAAAAGGTTACAATTTTCTTTAAGAACATAACTAAAAAAATATCTATTTTTTTAAAATGTATTATTTTAATAGATCACATTAATTAGATTTTTTTAATGCATTAAGGTTTAATCATAAAAAACTATTATTATTATTATACTAGAATAAATAAAATTTAGCTTGAGTTAGAAAAAGTTTCACTGTCTCTAACTTCACACCTAGTATTCAAAACCTAAAATATGTTTGGATAAGTTTGTGTGACTTAAAAAATAACAATTTTTTATATCTTTTGTATGATTCTAAGGGGCAACGATGGGTCCGTTATTGAGATTCTTCATTCGTAACTTTGTAGCGACGACTTGCATAGTCAACAGGTTGAGGGTTCATCACATATTTCATTATGCAAGTTGTTCATAAATTTTAAAGAGAACTCCATCCGTGGCATAGATGTGCCGAGGATCCACAACTCTCTAGTCATTGCATGGTGGTAAGACCATTGTCGATGCGATCATCACGCCTAGTTGGTTGCTGGTTAGAGCAATGTTGCCAAGATTGGCTAAAGTTGTTGTAGCGTTTAAGGTGTCCTTCCTCCCGAGTTGTTGTCCAATAGAGCGTGTGGTCACCACGACTATCGAACTACGTTCCTGCCCAGCTGAGCTATCGAACTTTTTTGTTTTGTTCATGTATAATGTTTATGTGATACAGTATTGGATGAGGGCCAATTTAAATTTCTAGATCTACAATTTCCTCGTGAGATTATTAGATGCCATAGAACATGGATTGGGCTTTCAAAAACAAATCTAATGTACCCTTGGGTTGGCGATAAGCCTAAAATGTAGAGCCCGAGCCTCTATTTGGTAATGGACATAATAGTAGTAGCATAGAGTTTAAACGTAAAGCAAAGGGGCATATTTCCATAGCACAACGGATTCATCCCCGGCCTCCAATTTCAAAAATCTGAAAAAAGGTAAAAACTGAAGCAAATTCCAATCTTTCTTTGCAAGCTTTTTTCAAACACCAAGACTTATGTCTTTCTTTACCTTTTATACTGTTAAGTGTTCTATTTTTGTCTTTTAAAGAATTTATGTCTCTTTTTAACTGTTTTCACAAACATAGGCCTTCATTTTTATTTTCTCCCAATAATCAGCTAAAAATCATTGAATTTAAAAGTGCAAATTGAACTACATATAATATTTAGTAATTACTATTAGCATTAATTGTTGATCTGATCTTTGCACCCAAGTTATTATATGTTTTTCCTTGCAATATTCTTATGCCAAAGTTCACCCTTGGCTTTTGCTTTTTCTTTATTCGATTCTTTTCTTATGTTGAGAGAAAAAATGAATAAACTAAGCATCGTTGTTAAGATCAACATTGAAAATATATTTTGTCATTAGAATTATTCGCATGTATTTTATTCTTTTTCTCTTCCTTCTTCTCTCAAATTCAATCTCTCAAATTCTCTTACCAAATCTCTCAAAATCTCCATTCCTAATTTGTCAGTGCTAAGGTAAGTTGATTTATGTTTATCATTTTCTTCAATTAAATTGAACAATCTCTTACTTCGCGACATTATTTAAGATATGCCCATCAAACAAAATTGGTCTTGTTAGGTTACTTTAATATTCAATTCTACAGCTACCTTCTTATTAATTAATTCCTCCTCTTAAAAACTATTTGTATTACAGCAATCAAGAACAAATGGCAGAAGGAACTCTGTTTAACGTTGCGGGGAATATCCTGAAGCAGTTAGGATTATTGGCTGTCCATGAAATCGGATTGGCATGGAGTGTTGAAGATGATACTGCCCAACTCAAGGACATTGTGAGCACTATCCAAGGAATACTTCTTGATGCTGAGGAGCAGCACAGCAAGAAGAATAATGAGGTGACAACTTGGCTTCATAGGCTCAAAGATGCATTTTATGATGCAGATGATTTGCTAGATCATTACAACACTCAATTTCAACAGCTAAAGGTGATGACTGCAAATAAAATGGCAAAAAAGGTACAAATCTTCTTCTCTAAGTCTAATCAGATTGTATTTAGTCTTAAGATGGCTTATAAAATGAAGAAAATTAAGGAGAGACTAGAGAGTATTTACAATGCAAGACCACCTTACCTTAATGAACGCTTTGTTGATGAAAAAGGAGTAGTGAATTTGGAAAGGGAAACACACTCTTTTGTACATATGGAAAAGGTTATTGGGAGAGATGATGAGAAAAATAATCTTATGCAACTTCTATTGGACTCAAATAATGATGAGAATGTTTCAGTGATTTCCATATATGGGCTTGGAGGATTAGGAAAGACCACACTTGCTCAATTTGTATACAATAATGAAAATATCGTAAGATATTTTCAATTAAGGATGTGGGTGTGTGTGTCTGAGGAATTTAATGTAAAATTAATTATAGAAAAGATCATAAAATCTACAACTCATAAGGAAATTGAAAAGCTTGAACTAGATCAATTCCAAGAACGCCTTCGCAAAGAAATTGGGGGTAAAAGATATTTACTTGTTTTGGATGACATATGGAATGAGAATCCCATTGAATGGGACAAATTAAAAAATTTGTTGTTGAATGGTGCAAGAGGAAGTAAAATATTAGTCACTACACGTAGTGAGCAGGTTGCTAAGATTACTAGTAAACATTCTAATCATATATATCCCTTAAGAGAGCTAGCTAAAGACAAGTCTTGGTCCTTATTTAAGCAAATAGCCTTTGAACATGGGATAGAGCCAAAAGATTCAATACTAGTAGAGATTGGAAAGGAGATTGTAGCAAAGTGTGGAGGAGTTCCTTTAGTTATAGTGACGATAGGACACCTACTTTATGGTAATAATAAGGAAGATGATTGGTTACAGTTTAAGGATAATGAAATGTCAAAAATAATTCAAAAGGAAAGTGATATTTTACCTATACTCAAGCTTAGTTATGATCATCTTCCCTTATACTTGAAGCAATGTTTTGCCTATTGTGCATTATTTCCCAAAGATTATAAGATTGAGAAGCAAAAACTTATTCATCTTTGGATGGCGCAAGGGTTTCTTCAAGAATCAAACAAGAAGGAATGTCCAGAAGATATTGGTAATAACTATTTTATGGCCTTACTTTTAAGGTCATTTTTCCAAGATCGAGAATATGATGAATGGGGCAATATAATTGCATGTAAGATGCATGATCTTATGCATGACCTTGCACAATTAGTTGCAGGAATTGAATGCAGCATGGTAGCAATAGACACGAGAGAAAGTGTGGATGTAAAATGTCGCCATTTATCATTTGATTGTTGTGAAATAAGTGAATCATGGAAATTTCCATCCGCATTGTATCGTGCCAAAAATATAAGAACTTTACTTTTATTGGATCCATTAAAATGGGGACACGAAGTGGATGATGGTTATGAAATTTTAAAAAGCTATAGGCACTTGCGAACATTGGATTTTGGAGAAATGAGGTTTCAAAAGTTGTTTACTAAGAATGATAAATTGAAGAGCCCAATTACTAAATTGGAGCATCTACGATATCTTAATATTTCATATATGTATATTACAAATTTTCCTAATTCCATTTTGAGACTATGGAATTTGGAAACATTAGACCTCTCCTATTGTGAAAAGCTTATAGAACTACCAAGTGATATTAGAAGAATGGTAAATCTTAGACATCTTATAAATAAAAGATGTCATTCTTTATTGGGGATGCCACATGGACTGAGGCTTTTAACTAATCTTCAAACACTATCACTATTTGTAGCAAGTAAGAAAAATAGTTCNTTGGATTTTGGAGAAATGAGGTTTCAAAAGTTGTTTACTAAGAATGATAAATTGAAGAGCCCAATTACTAAATTGGAGCATCTACGATATCTTAATATTTCATATATGTATATTACAAATTTTCCTAATTCCATTTTGAGACTATGGAATTTGGAAACATTAGACCTCTCCTATTGTGAAAAGCTTATAGAACTACCAAGTGATATTAGAAGAATGGTAAATCTTAGACATCTTATAAATAAAAGATGTCATTCTTTATTGGGGATGCCACATGGACTGAGGCTTTTAACTAATCTTCAAACACTATCACTATTTGTAGCAAGTAAGAAAAATAGTTCGGCCATTAGAAAAAGCAAATACAGTGGGATAGAAGAATTAAATAGGTTGAACAATTTGAGGGGAGAACTACATCTTCGAAATTTAAAATATGTTGACAATGGAAGGTTGGCCAACTTAAGTGAAAAACGATTTCTTCAATCTCTTATACTAGATTGGGGGAGAAGTACCTATTGCGAGGGAAGTAGCTATAAGATGTGGAAAATGAGTGATAGGGAGGTTGAAGAGGTTGAGGGGATTGATGAAATGGTGTTAGAAAGTCTAAAGCCACACCCAAATTTGAAAGAAATTAGAATATGGTCATTTATTGGTGTGAGGTTTTGTAATTGGTTTTCCTCCCTTACAAATCTAACTTCAATTAGTATAGTAAGTTGTGGGAAATGCCAATCTGTACCACCATTGAATAAATTTCCTTATTTGAAGAGTTTGTCTCTTGAGTTTCTATCTAATTTGGAGTACATTTCAGAGGAAGCAAGTAAGGAAGTAACATTTTTCCCATCACTTAAGGAACTGTCACTCAAGGATTGTCCTAAATTAAAGGGATGGTGGAAGAGAGACGTTAACGATGATGGAGTTGAGTTGCCTTCATTTCCTTGCCTTTCCAAATTAGATATTGATCAGTGCCCAAACTTGTTGTCCATGCCACTGTATCAGTCTCTTGAAGAATTACGTTTGTGGGATACCAGCTCGAAGCCATTGCTACAAACAATAATGTTGGTGAATAGTGTGGGACCATCAACTTCCTCCAAAATTTCTACCCCTCTCTCCAAATTAAAGTCTATGGAGATTGATGGAATTGCTGATCTAGAATCTCTACCAGCGGAGCGGATGCGAAACCTCACTTCTCTAGTTGATTTGAATATTTTTAGATGTTCAAGACTAACTCAAGTGCATCAAGGTATAAGATTTCTCACCTCACTTCAAAATCTGAAGATTGAAAGTTGTGACGAGCTTGACTTTCTCAAGGATGACATGGAATGGCAAAGTCTCCAAAGCCTTTATTCTTTAAAACTTAACAGTCTTCCAAAATTGGTGTCTTTACCAAAGGGGTTTCAACATCTTACCTCTCTACAGAAGTTAGCTATTGGTTGTTGTGACCAATTTAAATCACCCAACAATGAGGATGACGATTACATGCCATGGCAAGGCTTTAGGAGCCTTCGGTCTTTAAAAGTTTATGAGCTTCCAAAATTGGTGTCTTTCCCAAAGGGGCTTCGATATCTTACCTCTCTACGGAAGTTGACTATTAATAATTGTGACCAATTTGAATCACCTGGCAATGAGGATGAGGATGACATGCCATGGCAAGGCCTTAGGAGCCTCCAATCTTTACACTTTTTTGGGCTTCCAAAATTGGTGTCTCTCCCAAAGGGGCTTCGATATCTTACCTCTCTACAGAATTTGCATATTGATGATTGTGACCAATTTGAATCACCTAGCAGTGAGGATGACGATGATATGCCATGGCAAGGCTTTAGGAGCCTCCAATCTTTACATATTTATGGCCTTCCAAAATTGGTGTCTCTCCCAAAGGGACTTCAATATGTTACCACTCTACAAGATTTGACTATTGTATATTGTCATAATTTGACAGCTCTACCGGAGTGGATATCCAATTCAAGTTCATTTTCAATACTGAAAATCAATGATTGTCCCAAATTGTCAAAAAGATGCAGAAATAACATGGGGATGGATTGGCCAAAGATTGCTCACATCCCAAATATTATAATTGATTACAAATGGATTCAAAAGGATGGCTGTTATGAATATTCTTCTTCAACAGGTTGATACTTCTCTTGAAATTAACCAATAAGCATTTTTTATTGTAATTGACTACTTTCTTATTTGTTTTATGAGTAAAAAATAGTCCTTTATTTTATCCATTTATCATAACTAATTTCCTACATTTATAATGCAGGATTGTGTGGTGTGGGCAAATGGTTTGGAATTTGTAATTAATTGGAAGGTACTTATCTTACCTATTCATTAATTTATTTCAATTCTTTCATTTTTGCAAGGAAATTTTATACCAATTGGCATTCAAAAACTGAATGGTAATTGTATCCCTTATTAGCTTGCACTTTTGTTCTTGATGAAAACAAATTTTGCATGCTCAATCAGGCATTATTTTGATTCATCTCTTCCCTTCAAATTGTCTAATGTTTCAACAGTCGCTACTCTGTTTGTAAAGTGATGGAAGAACATTACAGAAATCACGGATTATCCCAAATTGTCAGAAAGATGTAGAAAGACTGGAGTGGTTTGGCAAAGCCCATATATTGATAGACATAGTATCATGGACGCAAAGCCCATGTATTGATAGACAGGGTATCTTTGGAGTTTCAGCTTTATAAGAGCTTTTGATCCAAACAAAGTGCAATTAGAATACGCTTCACGACTTTAAAGAGGTTCATCTCTTCTCTTTAAATTTTCTAATGTTTGAGTTGTTATTATGCGACAATTATTTGGTAGTAGTTTCATGATTATGAAAACTTAGCTGTATGGATAAACTTACCCTAAAGCTCATTCTTAATTGTTAATAAACTTTGGTATGCTAACCAACAGAGATAATTTCTTGTTAATTTGCAGGGAAAACGCTTGTGTAGTAGATGGCTATTCATCAGGAATGTACAAGTCTTTCTTCAACCGACTTTTTAGTTTAATTAAATTCTCATTCTTAGTTGTTGAATGGAGTTCATGTAAATGACCGGCAAAGTTCGTATTGTCGGTCTTTTTCTTTACATTGTGAATAGGCTTCATTGGCATGTGGAGACCCAAGAAGTGTCTTGAAGCTCTCTTCTCATGAGGCAAAATTGATTCAAGAAGGTAAATGACCACTCTCTTCTTTTATGTTTCTATACTTGTTTTTTAGGTAAACTTTCTTCTCTTGATCGTNTATTCATCAGGAATTGATTTATTCTTTCTTCAACTGACTTTTTATTTTAATTAAATTCTCATTCTTAATTGTTGATTGGACTTCATGTAACGCTATTGAATATGTGATTGTGTAGATGGATCTAATTGCTAATTGGGTCTTCAATTAACATTATCGAGCAGGTCTTACCTCAACAAAACAACCAAGAAATTCCAATGAATGATGTTTGGTGTTTGTCATTATATAGTTTCTCTCAATGCTTTTGTACTTCTCTTTCTCTTTATTGTAATTCATGCATTTGCATTTTTTTTTTCCTTTTTCATTGTATTTAGCTTTATTTGAGGGGTAAGGCTCATTATGTCCCCCCCTGTCTAGGTGTCATTATTTCTTTTTCAATTAATAAAATTCTCCTCGTACCGTCGAGGTTTCCCTAAAATAAATGAATTTGTATTATTTACAAAGCATAAATAGCTACAATGAATAACTCTCAATAAATCAAACTATAAGTTATGAATGTAAGAACCAAACTTGGCTTATAGTAGAAAACCATATTTCTTTATTGATAAAAACAGAGACACCCTTCAAGCACACAAGCAAAGCCTGATCATGGAGAGCCTATATTGATGCCTCCATCACTGCCTTTAGATACGTCTTTAAGCCCAACATTATGATCAGTGGTAGGGACTAGCGAGCCAAGGGATCAAGTGGCCTAACCACGGAAAACCAAAACCCAACCCAACCCAAACGGAAATGGCAAAGCATCAAGGAAAGTTGATTGTAGACTTGGTTATTCGTTGACATCTCTATTTCTCTTTCATATTAACATTATAAGGGTTTAAGTGTCAGTTTCTTGAGTTTTAGGGGTCTCATAGAGTTAACCCTTTCTTGATAATCTCATTTTCAAGTGCCAATATTGACAATTACCATTGTATCCCTCTCACCTAAATACGAAACTAATGTAATTAGGGCAAAGGAGGATATTATCGGATATTGATACGGTTTTCAAACTTTGAGGGTTTATGTCATTTAAAAAAAATGCAATAATCATTGTCTCAGTGATAATTTCGAAAATAATGGGGTTGTCTATGATATTCTCAGAAAATACCCTTTGTACTCTAACATTTCAAGAAGTGACAATGAGCCCCTAATCAGTAATCAGTAATCACTAATGGACGTCGGAGATTTTAGTTGCGGCTCAAGGGCAAAATTCTATCAGATCTGTGTTTTACGGTTTTCACTAAATTCTGAATTGGGTTTTGTTAATGCGTCACGATGATGAATGTTACGGCTATCGTGTGTGACCGTGGAAGCCTCCAACGGCGGCTGTCGCATGAGGCCGCGAATGGCCTTGACTTTGGCTGTAACGCGTCAGGTTATGAATGGCCTTGGCGGCCACCGTCGCGTGAGTTTTTGAGTGGGCTGGCGGCAGCCATCGCGTGGTAAGATTGATGGATCTGAANGTGAACTTATCAAAACTTTGGGCACACGCAAGAATCTGCAACCACGATTCAAAGTTCAAACTTGTGCTTTGACAAGCAGCTTATTTAATAATTTTATTGAAAGAACTTTGATGCATGACGTGAGTGCACCAAAGTTCAAATAGCTTGCCCATCAAGGCGAACTTAATTGTTAATTAATTAAAATAAACGGTAATATATACTTAATTCCACACAAAATCACACCAAATCTCTTACTTAACACGTTTCAATTGCATGTGCATGTTTGATTTAATTTGAAATATAAAATCCACACGTTTCAATTTAATGAACTCATAGAGTAGTTGAGTTACGCCACAAATTAATCTGGACATTCTGATAAAATACAAAAAATCATAATTAATGCACTTCCTATATTTGAAAAGACAGAAGAGTGGGTACTATATTAAGAAGCTAGAAGCCAAGAGGGGTTAAAAAATGTGCCGCGATATTATCATTGAAGATTCCTTTCACACTGTTTGGCACGCGAACTTGTGCCTCTTTGCCTATCACTTTTCTTCCTATAAAAAGCTTATCCGAATTGATAGGATATTAAGAAATTCAGTGAGCTCTCTAGACTTAGGTTTCTTCAACTTTCTTTTACTCTCAGCTTGAGTGACTACAAAATGGAAGATAGGATCTATAGAGGTCATGTTCTTGTAGTTCCTTATCCAAGCCAAGGTCACATAAACCCAACTCTTCAATTTGCTAAACGTTTGGCCTCCAAGGGGCTCAAAACCACTTATGCCATAACCAATTTCATCTCCAAGACCATGAAGCCTCAGCCCTCCGGCTCTGTGCAATTTGAAACAATTTCCGATGGCTTCGATGAAGGCGGCTTCGCAAAAGCTGAGAGTATCCATGATTATCTCCGAAAGATGGAAGCTGCGGGCTCGAAAACTCTAGCTGAGCTCATTACAAAGTATGAGCAATCCTCGAACCCTATTGATTGTATCGTTTATGACCCTTTTTTGCCTTGGGCTTTCGAGGTCGCCAAGCAGTTTGAATTGCTTGGAGCTGCGTTTTTCACACAAACGTGTGCGGTTAACTATATTTATTATCTTGTTCATAATGGGCTGTTGAAGCTTCCGATTTCTTCGACGCCGGTTTCCATCCCTGGATTGCCGTTGCTTGAGCTTCCGGATATGCCGTCGTTCATTTATGTTGCAGGTCAATATCCAGCTTACTTTGAGATGGTGTTGAACCAGTTCTCCAACACAGATAGAGTTGACTTCATTCTTGTCAATACCTTCTACAAGTTAGAAGATGAGGTTCGTTTTACTATAGCTTTTTACAGTCTCTAGTGCAAGCGAACATATACATTAATCAATTTTTGTCTTTTAGCGTTAATAGAGTGCAACCGCTAAATAATTAACAGAGATTCACATATATTTTGATGTACATATACATATGAAATTCTTTTATATTTGATTGGTCTAACCTAGCAGTAAAAGTTTCTACGTCCGTAACTCAATGTCCACCTAATCTAAGAATTGAAAATAACTTAATTTTACTTGATACAGGTTGTGGATTCAATGCATAAAATTTGTCCACTGCTAACAATCGGTCCAACAATTCCATCTTTCTACTTGGACAATCGCGTCGAAAATGACAAAGATTATGATCTCAATCTCTTCAAACTAGACAAATCCATATGCATCGACTGGCTAAACGCAAAGCCAACAGGATCCGTCGTTTATGTGTCATTCGGCAGCATGGCTAATTTAAGCAACAAGCAAATGGAGGAGCTCGCATGGGGCTTGAAGAACATCAATTTCCATTTCTTGTGGGTGCTTAGAGACTCCGAGGACACGAAACTCCCACAAGGGTACATTGAAGAGACGGCCAACAAGGGTTTGATTGTGAAATGGAGCCCTCAATTGGAAGTGCTTTCAAATAAAGCTTTGGGTTGTTTTCTCTCCCACGGTGGATGGAATTCAACTGTCGAGGCGCTGAGCATGGCGGTGCCGATGGTGGTAATGCCGCAATGGACTGATCAGCCGACGGATGCTAAATTTGTTCAGGATGTTTGGAAGGTGGGAATTAGGGTTAGGGTTGAAGAGAATGGGATTGTGACAAGAGAAGAGATTGAGAAATGTGTACGGGAAGTAATGGAGGGGGAGAGGGCAAGAGAAATGAAAATGAATGCTGAGAAATGGAGGAAGTTGGCCATAGAGGCAGTGAGTGAAGGAGGCACTTCAGATAAAAATATTGATGAATTTGTGTCCAAGCTGAGGAAGAGTAGTCAGTAGTTCATGAAAAAATCTAGAATGCAACGGTGATATATCATGCACACCATCCGCAAGTGAATTTACACTATCTCTGAATTTTTATTTCTGTCATTCTTCACCTTTAAAATTAATTGTAATTGATTACTCGATGTGCATGTACTGTCTTGTAGTACCGCTTCAATAATACTAATGTGATACTATAAACTTGTTCTAGATTAAGTCTTTTAATCTTCTAAATTTTTGGATTGTTTGAATAATTAATTGTGTGCAATGCAGCATGTTATTGTTCATTGAATTTCACTGAATCCATTTTAGTACATTTTTTTTTTTTCTCCCCACAACTAAAAGTCCATTTTTTATTATTTGTTTATAAATAAAAGTTGACCATCTGTTTTTGTGTCAATTTCTGAGATGTATAAATCAACATAGGACCATTCTTTGTCTCTTTTCTCATGTTAGTTGCTCTGCATATGTAAGCAATGATGCTAAGAATTTACTTGCTTACAGCTGTTCTTCAATTAATAATTTTAAAATCAATATGGGACAAAAATAGAAACAAATTTGATTGATAATAATATCATATTAATTATGAAGCTTGAAAATTGATGCCTAATTACATATATTAATATAAAGCTCCAATGTCAAATCGTATTATTCAAGAAGATGCTTCAAATGGGTTGAATTTGAAATTCGGATAAAGAAAAGAAGACAACTATATGGTACAATGAGATTTTCTGAAGAGACCTTGCGAAACATGCTCCATTGCTCCTAGACAGTGCATGTCAATCAATGTCAACTATGGCACTTCCAAGATGGTTAAAATCTCTCGGTTGGTTTCAATTTTTTTCCGCCATCTTATTCAACTATCCCATCATAAAAAATAAAAATAAAAAATACATTTTGTTTTAATATTCTTCTAAGTTGAATAATATTATATTCAATTCAAAACATTATAGGTCCATTTGGTTTATTATTTCATATCTTACTCCCAATCATATTCTCAAAATAACTATTTGTTTATTATTTAAGAAATACTATTATATTTTATTCAATTACTTTTAGACCCCTTAAGTTTATTAATTTAATTAGACACCCTCATAAAAAAGTTTAAAATTTAACAAAAACACCCACACCCACCCATAGTTGCCAGATTCCGGCAACCACCATCGATGGTAGCCAGAATCTGTCACAACGACGTACAAACAACCTAAACTGGTTGGTAATTCACAGATCTGACCGTCAGCGACGGCCAGATCTGGCCTTTTGCAGCCGTCAACGGCCAGATCTAGCCGTAGATCTGGTCTTTTCCGACCAGATCTGTGGTGGATCTGACCTTTTTCGGATTTCGTCGAAAAAGGCCAGATTGACGCACGACCTGTCAGATCTGACCAGTCTGGGTCGTAACGTCAAATTCCTACCAGATTCCGGCGGTAGTGGCTGAAATCTGGCACTATGGGTGGGGGTGGGTGTTTTTGTCATTTTATAAAATTATTATATATTGGGGTGTTTAGTTAAATTAGCAAACCTAGTGGGTTTTTTTGTTAATTTTTAAATTTTACCTCGTAATAATCACCCTACTCAACTACCCAATACTGTTTCCAAAATCCTATCCAAAATAACAAACCAAACAGACCCATAAATTAACAAAAATATCCTCATCCACCCAACTATTGTCGACGGCTTGCCACAATCGCCAGATGGTGGTTGAATGTCGTCGGAATGGCACACGATCGACTGAATTTAGTTGGTCATGCGTCGATATGATTGTTTCTGGCAAGATCTACGGCCAAAGATCTGGTTGTTGATGACTACCATATCTTGGCCGTCAACGGTCAGATCTGTGGCCGTAAATCTAGTCATTTTCGGCCAGATCAGTGCACGACCAGCTAGATCCAGCCGGTCGTACGCTATTTCGACGAATTCTAACTATCTTTTGGCAGTGGTGGCTGACTGACGACAATAGTTGGGTAGGTAGGGTGTTTTTGTTAATTTATAAACTTTTATTATAGGGGTGTTTAGTTAGATTAACAAACCTATGGGGTTAAAAAATAGTCAAAATATTTTCAGAAAATATTTTCAAAAAATGTACCAAAAACATTATCAGAATACTATCCTATTTTCCAAAAATCCTATTCAAAATATAATACTATCCTAAATAACTAAACAAACGGAGCCTCAATCTTTATAGTCTTGATTTAACTTTCTTGTTCCCTCAAGAATGGTAGCTACCATTCTATAAACCATTTTCTCTTCTTTGGTCTTTTTTTTCTTCCAAAAGGAAAGATGAATACTTATTAATTTGAGTTATTTGCTAAGCCAAATTAGCTAGGTCTTAATTGCAACACTGTTTCAAAGTTAAGAGTTAAAGACTTTTTNTTTTTTAAAATTACAAAAACACCCCAATAATCCACATTTACCAGATTCCGGCCACCACCACCGGAAAATAGCCGGAATCTGGTAGGATGGCGCACTACCGGCTGAATCTGGCCGGTAGTGCGCCGATCTAGCATTTTCCGGCCAGATCCACGGTGGATCTGGCCGTAACAATCGGTCACGACGGCCAAACAAACGGTCGTCGTTGACCATCAACGACGACCGTTTGTTGGCCGTCGTTGAGAGCATCTACGGCCAGATCTGGTGGTTGACGGCCAGATCTGGCTGTAGATCTGGCCTTTGCCAGCCAGATCCACCTTGGATCTGGCCGGAAAAGGCCATATCGGTGCATGACCGGCAAGATCCAGTCGGTCATGCGCCCATAAGACGATTCCGGCCACCTCCGGTGGTGGTGGCCGACTGGGGGTGTTTGAGGGTGGGTTAGGGGTATTTTTGTTAACTTTTAATGTTTTATTATAGGGGGTATTTTGTAAAAAAACAAATATATGGGATATTTTATAATTTATAAATTCTACATCGTAATACCCACCCAATTCAACTTTTTTTTAACTTTTTTCAAAAAACTTTTTCCAAAACCCCCAAATTTTGAACCAAACGGAGCCTTTGTTTCTCTGATATTCTATTTGTCTTTCTTTGCAATAAAATGCTCTATTTATTGCTTGTCTCTCCCCTTTGAAGTAAAGAGTTGTTGCTGCATTTAATACAGCTTTGAAAAGTTGCACTACCTAGAGGAACGGACGTTCCACTATCACAAACGGTTATTCCCAACATAACGAATACTTTAGCTCAATTCTAGGGTTTATGGAATGATCGTTTGACCACCACGAACGGTTGTTCCACTGTCGCAAATAAATATTCAACCACGAGGAACAATTGGTCCATTGGCTCCTTAAAAATCCAGAGGCATGCATAGCTTTTTGGAATGATGACGTTTTGCCAAGAACGATATTTGAGTGGGACCGGTTGTGCGACATGATTGTTTTACTTGAAATACTTGAATTTCAACTTGATCTTCAAGGTTTGTCAAAGCTGTGAAAACATTTGAATTTAGAGTACTTTGACTTTTGACTTGGTTGGAATGGTCGTGTAGCTTGATTGTGACATTGTGACCAACTTGCATCATTTTAGATAGAAGAATGCATGATCATCTAGTACGTGGTTGTGCTATGAGCAACTTTATGAAACTAGGAATAGTCATTCCTTCGTCCTGCACAATCATACCAATTGGAAAAACTGCATCTTTTGTTTTGGTTATGACTTTTGTCATACCTTTGCGTGTTTGTTAAAAACCAATGAACTCTTTGATTAGTTTTGGTATATCAAAACACATGAGGGCTCAACAATATCATGTCACTTTCCACCGTGATTACTTCTGATCATACATCAACGAACAATTTTGTTATGTGAAGATGAGGAATGATGTTGAGTGCAAAATTATTGGCAGAGAAGATGCTTTCCTTGATATAGACTGTTGATGAGTGATTTTGACACCAACGACTCGCATGTGCAAAGTGCTAAGGAAGCCTTAGAAATTACACGTGAATGATTATGAGAGAGCTGATCAATATAATCCACTACAAAGATTGAATAATAAATGAGAAATGATTTTCAAAGTGGTTCGGATACTTAAAGCGAATCCTACATCCACTGTTTCTTTTATATATGAAAGATTACAGTAGGTCGCGTATAGTGAACAACGAGCAGAGGTACAACAACTGAGTATTAAGAGAGAATATCAAGTCAGACTCTTTCTCGTAGGTTATCTTTGCTTTGAAAATAAAGATTACAATTAGAATGAGGGTTTAGTATCAGAATCCTGAAAATGAGAGGAGGAGTCCTCTATTTATAGTAGAGGAATTCAAGGTTATGATTACAAATCTGTAAATGGATAGGTGTCGTGTAAGTCCTTCCTTGCCTCTCTTTGGCTGATAACTTAGGAAATATTCTTAAATTATCTAGGGCTTGGACATGTGTGCGGTCCTTAGTCACTCATATACAAAATCTGAATCTGATAAATTGATGACAACCATATTCTCTCTGTCTTGGGTCGATGTGGCAACACCCGGATGATGCAAAGCCTTCCTAAACTATGATTGGTGCTTGCTGATTAAGCTTATGTTAGTCTTGATTTTTTAGACATAACATAAGCTCCCCAGTTCTTAAGGTTCAAGAATTAAATCTTGAGAACTTCATGATTATGCCGCGACTGATATGTCTTGAGGAATGTATGCTCAAACTAACAATTGAGAACAACCACATTGTTACAGTCGACATGAGGCTGATGGCTTTATCCGACTAGTGAACTGAGTGTAGATCGTGACATGGGTCTCGAGAATTACACAAGCGACCTGACGTGATCATTCTCAAAGGTCTAACTGTAAGTAAATCGACGGGTTAGACGCAGCAGAAAACAATCAATTACTCTGATGAACCCAAGATTAGGGTCTGATATGAACATATTTTACATGCTTAAATTGAAATAACACAAAACCAAATAAGGATCGGATCATACTAGGGTTTGGAGGCTTCGTCAATATCTCTAAACGCGATGTCGCTATCGATCCAAGTGTAGGACGAAACTCACATTGTCCACACGAAAATAGTACAATAGAGACCAAAGATTGGTTTTGCTAGAACTAATCCTTGGCTTTCAGGTTTCAAGGTTTGGAAGGATAAAGAGTGAAAAAAGATGAAGAGAAGAAGGGAGAAAAATTCTCTCTAATTTTTCACTCTCCCACGATAGCAACAAAGAATGAATGAATTCTCTCTATGAAAACCTATTTTGCCTTTCTTTATATAGAAAAGACAAATATCAATTCCACCCCTAAAGTTTAGCAACTACCCAAACTTAGGTAGAATCGCACATAGATCCATGTTTAATTATTTAATTAAATATTAATATTAAC